ACCATGCCCTATTCCTTGTTCTGGACACCCCCTGTCCTACCCATTAGGGAGCACAGACTTCAAAAGTACAGTAATGTTCCAAAGGACAGCCCCAAGAGGAATATGCAGACCCCCATAACAGGTTTGAGACTGCACAGGGGTACCATGTACCTGGCTCATGGGCTAGCAGAAGCATATACCTTGTTCCGTGGTCCGGGCTCCTGACACGGTAGAGAGGGGTATGGTTGGAAGAGAAAAAAAGTATGAAGCTCAAAATAGAGGTCCCTCTTGCCTGGGGTCTAAGAGCAAGACTATAGTATCAACTGATACAATGTAAAAATGAACAAATGGCTACAAACGTAAAATATAGTATTATAATGCAATAATGCACATAATCCTTTCTGTTAAAGAGTAGGGTTTAAGAACCATAGAGGAAGCTGCTTGACCTAAGTGAATAGAATTACAGGGTGTTAGAATATATCGAGTTCTAGACAAAGCTGTGTCATTAGGGACAGAAAATGAAATTCCAAATTATAAATTTTAACTCTTATTTAGAAACCACGTGGAAACATTAAATATTTTAAAAGCAGGATGCAGTGTACTCAAATTAGTGCTTTAATGGATGAATTCAGGGCAGAGATCAATTAGAGGAGTGATTCTCAACCTTTCTAATGCTGCGACCCTTTAATACAGTTCCTCATGTTGCAGTGACCCCCAACCATAAAATTATTTTTATTGCTACTTCATAACTGTAATTTTGTTACTGTTATGAATCATAATGTAAATATATGTGTTTTCTGATGGTCTTAGGCTCTACGGCAGGGGTTCGCCTAAGACCATCATAAAACACAGATATTTACGTTATGATTCATAACAGTAACAAAATTACAGTTATGAAGTAGCAATAAAAATAATTTTATGGTTGGGGGTCACCACAACATGAGGAACTGTATTAAAGGGTCACAGCATTAGAAAGGTTGAGAACCACTGAATTAGAGGAATCTTTGAAATTCTAGGTGAGACCCTATTACCTAAACTAGACTAGGGATGATTAGAATAGAGAGAAAGGAGGTGGACAATATTGGGCATAAACTATATTGCCATACTATTCTGAATAAAAAGTCATAGCCAGCCCAGCCAGTATGGCTCAGTGGTAGAGAAGTTGACCCATGCCACAAGAGATCACTGGTTTGATTCCCAGTCAAGGTGCATGCCTAAGTTGTGGTTTTGATCCCCAATAGGGGTTGTGCAAGAGGCAGCAGATCTATGCTGATGTTTCTATCTCATTGACGTGTCTATCTCTCTCTCTCTCCCTTCTCTCTCTAAAATCAATAAAAACATATTTTTTAAAAAAAAGTCATGGCCAACAAAAGACATATATTATAAAGGAATGCTATCCTAAATATACAAAGTACTCCTAAAACTTAAGAAGAAAACAAAACCAATTCACAATTGACCAAAGACCTTAACAGATACCTCACTAAAGAAAATATACAGATGATAAATTAGCACCCTATATAATAAAAGGTTACTATGCAAGTTATCCCCTCAACTGGGAGTCCAACCAGGGAGTGCGGCCAGCTGGCCAACAGCCCACAGCCCTTGCCCGTGGGCAGCCACACCCCCAATCGGCTACCCCCAACCAGGGACAGGGCTGGCCAGCCAACTGCCTGCAGCCCTTCCCCCTGGCTGTCCCTGCCCCCTATAGGCTCCCCCACACCAGTTGGGGGCAGGGCCAGCCTGCCAACATCCCACAGCCCCTTCTCCCACCTGGCCTGATTGGCCCCAATCGAGGCGGGCTGGCCAGACCACACCTGTGCACAAATTCATGCACCGGGGCTCTAGTATGAAAATAATGCTCGACATCATATGTCATCAAGGAAATACAAATGAAAATACAATGAGATACCACTATAGAAAAAAAAATGAACAAATTATAATACATTTTAAGGTGCTCAAATCATACTAGTTGGCCTGCACTTTCAGTTCAAATAATGGTAAAAAGGAGCCCTTTGCCTTCTTTGTAATCTTGTGGTTCTAGTTATAAGGAATATTACGTGAAATTCATTTTAAAATGTCAACACTGCTAACCCCTCCCCCCCCCCCCAAAAAAAAAAAAGATAGTTGTGGGAGTATTAAGTTTACTTCACTTTAATAGGCATTAAGTACCTACCCTGTTTCCCCGAAAATAAGACAGTGTCTTATATTAATTTTTTTCTCCCAAAGTTATGCTAGGTCTTATTTTCAGGGGATGTCTTATTTTCGGGGAAACACTGTACTAAGGAAAACTCATGGTTTAGAAATGTGAGAAAGAAAGATAAATAAAACCCTTTAAGGGCCCAATTATTCAGAGATTCACTCAAGGGGTTGTTGTTAGTGGATTAGGGGGAAATATAGAGTGTATTATATGTTAGACTAGAGGTTCGGAGCATGAAATTTGTGCACAGGTGGTGGTGGTGCTGGTGGTGGTGGTGGTGGTGTTCCTCAGCCCAGCCTGCACCCTCTCCAATCTGGAACCCAGATTGAGGGATGTCTGACTGCCCTCTCACAATCCAGGTCTTCTGGCTCCCAACCACTTGCCTGCCTGCCTTCCTGGTTGCCCCTAACCTCTACTGCCTGACAGCCTGATCACCCCTTACCACTCCTCTCCCAGCCAGATCGACACCTAACTGCTTCCCTGCTGGCCTGGTCACCCTTAACTGCCCTTCCCTTCAGGCCTAGTTGCCCCTAACTATCCTCCCTGCAGGCCTGGTCTCTCCCAAATGCCCTCCCCTGCTGGCCTGGTCACCCTTAACTTCCCTCCCTTTCCAACCTGGTCACCCCAACTGCACTCCCCTTCAGGCCTTGTCCCTCCCAACTGCCCTCCTCTGCAGGCCTGGTCTCCCCTTCCCCAACTATCATCCCCTGTAGGCCAGGGCCTCCGCTTGGGTTACTGAGGGGCATGGCCATCCTGCAAACCACCACAGGCCCCTCACCCAGGCCGCCCCACACCCCAAGGAAACCCCCACCCTGATCTGGGACATCCTTCCGGGCAAACCAGCTGGCCCTCACCCATCCACCTGGCCTCTATCTTATCTAATAAAAGAATAATATTCAGATTGACCATCACTCCAACACACAAGATGGCTGCCACAATGTAGTCAAAGATCCTGCCCCCATGTGGACACAAGATAGCTTGAGGTGGCGCAGGGGAGGGCATTTGGGAGGGACCAGACCTGCAAAGGAGGGTAGTTGGGAGTGATCAAGCCTGCAGGGGAGGGCAGTTAGGGTGACCAGACTGACAGAGGAGGGAAGTTGGGGGTGACTGGGCCTGCAGAGTAGGGCAGTTGGGGGTGACCAGGCCTGCAGGGGATGGCAGTTAGGGACAAATAGGCTGGCAGGGGAGCAATTAGGCATCAATCAGGCTGGCAGGGGAGTGGTTAGGGGATGATCAGGCTGGCAGGCAGAAGAGATTAGGGGCAATCAGGAAGGCAGGCAGGCGAGTAATTGGGAGCCAGAAGTCCTGGATTGAGAGGGATGTCTGACTGCCTGTTTAGGCCCTGATGGAATCGGGCCTAAACAGGCAGTCAGACATCCCTTGAGGGGGTCCCAGATTGGAGAGGGTGTAGGCTGGGCTGAGGGACACCTCCACTCCGTGCACAAATTTCATGCACCAGACCTCTAGTCTACTAATAAAAGGGTAATATGCTAATTAGACTGGGTTGACAGGCCATCTTCTGGACATCCAACTTCTTTCCGGACAAAGCCATGGTGGTGGGGGCCGAAGAAGAGGCAGTTAGGGGTGATCAGGCAGGCAGGCAGGCAGGCAGGTGAGCGGTTAGGAGCCAGCAGTCCCACAGGGATTGGGCCTAAGCCAGCAGTTGGACATCTCCCAAGGGGTTCTTAATTAGAGAGGGTGCAGGCTGGCTTGTGGGAACTCCTGCCCCCATGCACAAATTTCATGCACTACTACTACTATAAACATCCATTTATCCACCACCCAGCATAATAAACTTAACCTTTCAAATATAGTTGAAGCGCATAGTGGAGTACTCCACAATTAAATTCCCATTCCCTTTCATTTCCCAAACTGTAACCACCATCCTAAATGTGTTTATCTATCTAAGCATGAATTTCTGTATGTTACATTGGTACACAGCTCCCATAAGCATGCTTTTTACTCCAGATACTTATATCCGCAATCAATATATGGTGATCAGTTTGCACGTTTTTAGACTTTATTTATGTGGTATTATGTTTGTATCCTTCTTGAACCAGCTTTCCCCCCTTATTCATTTTTCTGCTGCCATCACCTGCTCTCAGCCCCCCTATCTCTCAGTTCCTGTAAGTTCTGCTCTCCGCAGTCCAGCCCTTACCGTCCTGTTCAGTTTACCTGCAACAGTTGCAAGTCAGTGAGTTAAGGCTGGTCCTACCTTGGGTGAGGCTCAGCCTCTTCCCCTGTGGCTTTAATAGTGCTTCTCAAACCTTTAAACTAGTCCTTCCCAAGCCTGCACTTCATCAGAATCCTCTGCAGAGCCTGCTAAACACAGGCTGCTGGGCTACCCTTAGAGTTTCTGATTGACTAGGTCTTGGGTGGAGCCTAAGAATTCCTGGGTGATGCTCATGGTGCTGTTTTGGGGACCAAACAATGAGAACCACTGCTCCAAAAATATGTCTGGGCCCAGGCTCAGCAGTGTCATCTGGTCTCCTGGCATGCTGGGCCATCTATGAGGTTTCCTTCAAAACTGTTCTAGAGCCCCTCTGTCTAGCAGACATATAATGCAAGTCACATGTGTAATTTAAAGTTTTCTAGTAGCTGCATCAAAAGAAAAACAGGCAAATTCACTTTAATAGTATATTTTAACTCAATATATTATCATTTAAACAGGTAATCAGTATGCAGTTTATTAGTGAGAATGGTAACACCTTTTATAGTTAAGCACATTTCAAATCAGACAGAGCAGCTCTAAAGGCTTGACATCATCTTTTTTTTTTTTTTAAATTTCTACTTGACATTTTAATTTATTTTGGGCTGACATAAAATAATTTAAAATAGGCTTACAAAATGTGGAAAGTGATATCTTTTGAAACAAAGAGGTAAGAAACATATGAGTTGGGATTATTTATCTAAATAAACTCTGCCTACATTTCAGTTTATTAATTGAAACAAACTTATTTTTAACTAAAACAAATGCTGCCAAATTTAGCTATAAGAAATAAAAGTGAGATGTCATTGAATAGCACTGTTTGGGTGATGAACTTTGGAATATCATTGTTTCATGCAATTAACATGGATTTATGAATATAAAAAACTTAAAAAGAGGGAACAATAAATTCTTTCTTCTTTCTCTATCTTCTTTCTAGTTCTCCAAACTGCAGGATGAAATGAGAGAAAATTAACACTTACAAGGCATTAACCAACTCCACTGACTTTCTAAATCTAAGAAAATAGCCCTATGTGTACCTGCTGCATTTGTGCACTATATCTCAATAAGGAGAGAAGAACAACATGCTTCCCTCTTGCAACCTGCCTTGCAGATCATTTGGTTCTGTCCAAGAGATCTATTGAGAAATTTGGTCCATACTAAAATGCTTTGATAGTTGGTTCTGTCCAGAATGCCCATGCTTAGGAAACATCCTGGATTCAAAAAGCCCATAATGTTTATATACACTTCTGATTTATAGGATTAATATGTAAAAATACTATCATGTTTTATTGGTCCAATAATTGTATTCTGGCCAAATTGCCAATAGTAACCCTTCTTGCCTCAGTAGCCTAGCTCCTAATGCACATGGGGTTAGGTCGATCACTCAGGGCTCCAATCTTGCAGAAAAGCAGAATTTAAATATCAAGGACCTTTTGGCATAGACCAAATGTCTCTGTGGACTTTTGGACAGGACCAAATATCTGCTAATTGTAACCGGCACTTTTGGATATAGGGCACTCCTATAACCCATGGCTTCAATTGTGATCATACCAACTTGTCTCCCTCTTGCCTGACACCATAAATGCCTTTTCTTTTCCCTAGAGGCCAAACTGGGATTTAAATAAATCTCTCCACCTTAAAAGCCTGTGCTCACTCCACAAGTGACACTCCCTTAACCACCCAAGCCCTAAGTTTTCCATATCTCCCATATGAGAGGCTATCTATATATCTAAGAGCCTAAGCAACCATTGCGACTGGTCAAACAAACAACCAGTCGCTATGATGTGCACAGACCACCAGGGGGCAGACGCTCAACACAGGAGCTGTCCTCTGGTGGTCAGTGTGCTCCCACAGCCAACCTCCCACGGTCCCTCCCTCAGCCAGTTGGCCTGATCTGGACTGGGGAAGATGGCCTCGATCGCCCTATTTTCCACCAGGCCGAGGGACCCCACCCATGCACAGATTTGTGCATCGGGCCTCTAGTAATAAAATATACAGCTATAAATGTGCCAAAAAAGAGAGAAAAATTTAATCATTTAAATAATACACAAAGATAAACCTTGAGACTTAATTACCAATTCAGTAATAAACAGTAATCATACAATGACTAAGTTTCTTTTCTTTTGACTGTAACACAAAATGCAAAAATCTACAACCAAAGGTTTAGGTATTAATCATTAAATGTGGTCCTACTTGAAATTGTTAACTTTTTGCTGTTTGTAAGTAGTCCTTGTCTCCTAGTTTGTATAGGAGACTGATTTCTTTTTTAACTTTATTTTTGTTGTTGACATGATTACAGATGTCCCCATTTACCACCCCTCTTTTCCCACCTCCACCCAGTCCCTGACCCCACATCCCTTTGGCCATCACCATATATTTGCTGTGTCTATGGGTGAGGCATGCATGTTCTTTGGCTAATCTCTTCACCTTCTTTCAACTAGTCCTCCTCACCACCCTCCTCTTTGACAGCTGTCAGTCTGTTCCATGTATCTATGCCTCTGCTTCTATTTTGTTTGTCAGTTTTTGTTTATTAGATTCCACATGTAAGTGAAATCATACGGTATTTGTCTTTCTTTAACTGGCTTATTTCACTTCGCATAATAATCAGAATGCATTTCTATGGCCAAGCAACGAAGGCCCAACCACACAGCCCAGCTACTTTAGCTGCTGCATCTAGTAACTATTTTCTAAACAAATATTGGCCTTAGGTACTGATATATTTACCATTTGTTAGTCTTTATAGGTAGAGGACAGATGAGTAGCCAGGAAGTATAGTTCAATACATAATGTGCTTTATATTACTATTTGTATGAGTAGTCTATTAATGTTCTAAGTAGATAAAATTGAATTTTTAAAATTAATTTACTGGGAGAGTTAAAAGAAAAATAAAGCCAGTAACAGGTAAATGCCAGGAATGGCTGTATGATATTCCAAGCTACACACAGATACCTGGATTTCTGGATCTACTCTCTGCAGGATTCACAACCTTTTCAAGTCCTTCCTGTTTTTTTTCAACTCCTCTTTGTCTTCCTTACTTTCAGCACCCTGGGCCTCTTCTTCAGTTGTTTCTTTAGTGAAGAATAAGACAGACTTTGGGATCAGACATTCACAGAAGAAAATCCCAATTCATAATGAATGGGGACACACATAAACCCTCAGGAGAAGTAGGAGGATGGAAGTAACTAGGAAAAGACTAGGAAGGCACATAGTCTTTTCCTAGCTGCAACACTCCCATGGCCCTCACATCTCTGCGGCTTGATCATTTTCACAGTGACATTATTTTTCTTTTTCTAGTAAACATGAGCTGTTGATGACTTCTGGCCTTTCAGAGAAAAAGGGATCAGGATAACCAGGGTTTAGGGTATTCTGTATGTTCTAATCTGAACTGTCTTGGGCAAATATTTTTGCCTCAGGGACAAATTGTATGGTGAAGCACATTAGTTCCTCAACCCCCTGAATATTTCATTTTTACAAAGTCCTTGGGATCAGTTCTTAATGTTTGGGGATCAACTTTCTAAGAATCTTGACACTTTCAGAAGCCAAGAACCAAACACCAGGAATGCCATTTGCTTGTTCTTTTCCTTCAGGCCCCCCGCCCGTGTCCTCCCCGGCTCCCTCCTGAACACCTGCCCCTGGGACAGGCGGACATTGGTCTGTGGACAGTGCACGGAGCTCAGATTTCTTAGCAGAGGTCGGGAGAGGGCAACGTACTTTCCCCCTCAAGGTGGAGAAGGCCATAATGGAGCTGGGCTTCTCCTCGGCCTGCAGGGTGTTGAGGGCCCCCACCCAGCGGAGAGAGCATGATAGGCCAGTGTGCCAGCTGTGCCACCGCTGCTCATAGGCGGCCCCCTTTTCCCCTCACCCCCTGCCAGGGGCCTCCCTGCTCACCACCTGACCCTATCCGCTCCGCTCTGCCAGATCCTCACCCCGGTGGGCTTCGGCCTCCTGCGTGGGCTCCTCCTGTGCCTCCTCTGCCATCTCCCCAGGCGCAGACTCATCTACCAGGTCCTGGACCTGGCCTTCGGGCTCTGGGAGGGCCAGGATCCTCGGTCCAAATCTCTCAGGTCCATCTTCAGACTCATGCACCATGGCTACGACCCTCTCTCTGGAGCCATGGGGAATCATGGCTACGACTCTCTCTCTGAACCCATGGGGCACCATGGCTACGACCCGTTCTCTGAAGCCTTCGGGCATCAAAATCACACGGATCTGGGCCATGCGTCCAGACCTCTGATGCCTGGACTGGGCCATCCTGCGGATGCCACGGGGACGCAGGAGGATATGGTTGTTGTAGTGTATGCGGTGTAGCAGTGAGTGCAAGAGGTTCAGGAACATGAAGCGAAAGCCCACCATGGGAAACTGGTGGGCATCTACTATCATCTCTGGGCCCGGCTCTAAGTTCTCCTCCTCCTCCTCGGCTGGGCCAATGTCAGAATCCTCACTAGTGCTGCTTTCAGGGTCTCCCACTGCCCTGGCCTCCTCCCCCAGGCTCTCCATGGCCTCTGCGACTTCTGCGGCCACTATGGCGGCAGCGGCGTCATCCCCATCCCCCTGGGGCCCGGAGCTGAGGATCAGGGCATCCTGCTCTCCATCTTCCCTGACCCAGGCTCCCACCACGCCCACGGGGCTCTCCTGGCCACCTGGGGCCTGGCTTCCGTCATCGCTGTCAGACATGCCAGCGGACAGTACCTCAACCAGCAGCGATAAGGCTGTGGTGTCGCTGGTCAAGATGGCGGCAAGGGAGAGGAGGCCGCTGACAGGAGGATCCCGGGAGGGGGCGGGGCAGTGGAGGAGCTGTCTGTCAAGTGGGCAACGGCCTCTGATAGGCAGGGGTGGATGGCCGGAAACACCCACCAAGGCTTCCCCACGCCATGGGGGTGGGGCCAGATGAGTCAACAAAGGGCTATGTCTGCTCCTTACAGCTTCACGCTCATTGGCTGGGAAGTGAGGATTAACATGCCGTTTATCCAATGAATGACGAAGGCCCTTCGGTTCTAGGATGGCTCACAATCAGCTCTTTTTTTCTATGAGGCCTTAGGGTCCTGAGCTAACTTTAGGGAAACACAAGTCCTGCCCTTTTAATTTTTTGATTTTCTGGAAAACTAGAGTAGTCCGATATGGAGACACCCTGGGCGATGTAAACCAAGAGGAGTTCCCTAATTTCCACGTGGTAATGGCTCATGTGAGTAAGGAGAAGATCATAAAAATATGTGGCTCAGACCTCAGCAGCAGGAAACTCCGAAGAGTAGAGAGAGAAGAATTTGGACCATTTAATGTGGTTAAAATTATTGGGAAAAAATGGACAGAATTGAAATGTATGCACTCAAAACAGTGTTGACAGGAGCTGGAAGGTATATAATAAACCTGACATTCACGTCAAGCCTCCAAAGAAAGAATAAAAAACTACATAAATCTTTTAAAGGACTAGGTTATCTCCTAAGAGCTAAGCATGACAGACATTAGAAGAGCAGGCTTCCTAGGATGTTTCTGAGGCAACAGTTTAAGACTGTTGATTTTAAGGTTCACTTAAGACCTCAAGTGTAAGTAATTCTGAAAATTATAGAGAAATTAACTCTATTTTATATTCATTCTGTAAAAAGTTTTATAACAGTAAAAATTTTTTTAAAAAAACAAGTATGTGTATAATTACATATAATCATATAGTATTTAGATAAATGTAATAGCCAAGTTAGGTATTACATTATAATACCAATAAATTCTATCAAGGTGAGGAGGAATTTTTTTCCTTTCATCAACCTAACCAAATTTCAATGTTTTTATTTTTCTTCTGGTCTCACCTCAAAAATGGAGCATGGGATTGTCATAAATCATTGGTTTAAGTATGGAAGGCAATGTAGAAAATCTGTAATCCAAATCTTCACTACAAAGACAAAAAACTGAGGCAGAAACCCAATCTGAGGTCTGGAGTTGGTTTTAACATTTCCCCCCTGATGTGATCTTGGGAAAGTTATCATTTCTAGTCCTCCATTTTTATCATCTACAAAGGTAGAGTAATGATTACCTAGCTTTGAGAATTAAATAAGATAATCTATAAAAGTCCAATTTATACTGTGAAACTCTGTAAACTATTAGGCATTATTATTATTATTATATCAATAGTAATTTTTCTGTTCTTGAACTATTGAGAGAAGTTATTGTATAGTCTCTCAGGCCTTCAGAGAGAATCATCTAATTTGGTTTTGGAGGGATCAGTGTTTCCCACCCACCCCCCCCCCCCCCCCCAGCTATATGGAGCTACATACTTCCTCCATGGCTGAGTTCATACCATTTCTTCAGTTAAGATTTAAGTGGGACAGATAGATGAAATGAGAAGGGGTTATATTTAGGATATTAACCATTTGTTGAAATATTTTCCTAGCTTGATTTTTGCTTTCTAATTTGGTAAATATTTTTAAGTACATACTTTTTTTTTAAAATTCTTTATTGATTATGGTATCATATAATTGTCCTCATACCCCCATTCCTATCTACCGGATCCAGCCGGTATCACAGGTCCTGAAGGTAGGGCGAGGAGGTTTAAGAGAAATAAAGACAAGAGAAAGTGGGGCTTCAGGAGGACTGCTAGTACATGGTGAGACTGCAGCAGCTTTATTAGTTGCAGGCGTACATTTATGCAGCCTTTCTGGGCATTTCTCCAAGTGCCCCTTTCCCAGGACAAGGCCGCCTGTCAGCTCCTTAAGGCGTTCTTGGAAAAAGATACATTGAGCAGGCTAGATATCATTAAGAACAGCTTAGCTGAGAACATCCAGATAAGTCATGCATCACACACACTCCCTAACAATGGGGCTATGGTCTGCCCCGTCCCTAGTTGACCCTGAAGGCTTAGGGGAGAGCAGGTAGGCGTCCCTACCCTGTGCTCAATCCCCTGTAGGAGAGCAGGTAGGCATCCCTACCCTATGCTCCATCCTTGCCCTCGGGCCCCACGGAACACGGCTTCCCACACCTATCCCAAACCCCTCCCCACGTATGCCCACTCCATGTTTTCCATGACCACTGGTTAGGCTTATATGCATGCACACAAGTCCTTTGGTTGATCTCTCCTCTTTGCCCCCACCCTCCCCTACCTTCCCTCTGAGGTTTGATAGTCTGATTGCTGCTTCTCTGTCTCCAGGCCTGTTTCTGTTCATCAATTTATGTTGTTCATTATTTCCCCTAGATGCGTTAGATCATGTGATACAAAGAATTCCCTTATAAGGACTGAAACTGAGACAAGCCGTAATGGTTATGCTGAGAGGCAAATGAATCAGTCTGTATTGAGTTCCTTTCGGGGCCAATAGTTCTTTTGAGTCCCAATTTCAATGTCAAACAGTTCATTAAATCTTTTAAAGGACTAGGTATATGTCAGCCATGGTATTTCAGATCTGGTTGGTTGACAAATGATGCTGATGCAGGTCCGACCATCGTCTCTGGTTTGGTCCTGGCATCCTTCAGTGATGCACAGCTGCTGTGTGCTAGTATGGCAAGGCATTGTCAGCTTCTTCCATCTCTGGACTGATTCTCTTCTGTCTTCATGGCTGGGGTAGTCCTGTCAATTCCTCTCTGTTGTTTTCTGAAAATATACAAACATATTCTTGACCAAAAGTTAATACCGTATTTTCCGGCATATAAGACTAATTTTACAGTTAAAAGATAGGGTTAGGTCTATATTCGCCGTATAAGACTACCCCCCACTTCAAAGAAAAGACTTACTTTGCCGTCAAGATCTACAGGTAATTTTTGTGCAATTTTGGTCTTTTGCCCCCGATTTTCAGTTGACTTTTTTTTCATTTCAAAAGTCATCTTATACGCTGAAAAATACGGTACCTCTTTTCAGATATTTTAGAATACTTTAAGGATAGGTGTTAGCTCTTCTTTGAATGTTAGTAAAATTCACCTGTAAAACCTCTAGTCCAGGACTTTTGTTTGCTAGGGTTTTGTTTTTTTATTACTACTTTGATTCATTAGAGGCAACTGGTCTATTCCAATTTTCTGATGCTTCCTATTTCAGTTTTGAAAGATTGTATGTTTATAGGAATTTATCTATTTTTCCTAGGTTGTCCAACTTGTTCATAGTATTTTCTTTCAATTCTTTGTATTTCTGTGTTGTCAGTTGTTATTTCTTCTCTTTATTTTCTGATTTTATTTTATTTATTTGTTTAACCAGACTCATTAAGAAAAAAGTGATAAATAATAAAACTAAAAAAAGTTAATAAAGGGATAAATATATATATATATAAATTTGACTTGGGATCTCTTTTCTTTTTCTTTTTTTCTTTTTCCCTCAAATGATTTTCCCTCTGGCTTGTTTTTACACCATGTATGTTTTTCATGAGTATCTTGCTGTTAGCATTTCAAATGAAAGTTAATTTTCTAAAGTACAAATTTTCTAGATGTAATTTACTCCCAGGATATTTTTCCTTACATGATATTTTTCCACTATCACCTTTTTTAATTTAAATACTAGGAGGGTTTTGAAATTTTATAATCTAGTCTTGATAGCTTTTACATTTTAATTATTTGCTCTAAAATATGACTGTGTTAGGTACATTACATGTTATGCAACTTTACCATGAGATGAACTGCCAATAAGAATTTTGTTAACACTTTAGGAACAGCTTTTTGTACAGTACAATCAATTTTTCTAGAATATTTGCTTATTTCAATTAGCCAATTTAGTTATCTCTGAGAAATTGACTACTATTCAACTGTCAAACTCTACAATCTATCAACAATCTTATTTTATCCTGTGTGTATTCGTGGAAAGGATTATTTGCCTTCTTGCGTAGACTCTGAACATTCCTGGTACTAGGCTGGATTTGGATATCAAAAACCCACTTCCCCAAACCATGGGTATAAGACCTCTCAAACAAGTCTTGTTGCAGTGAGAGGGCAGCTACTGTCAGTCAAGCCTGTCTGTTACCTGGGTCCCAATTTGAGCTGTGCATGGGAAGCGAATCAGCCATGGGGGCAGGAGACATCCTTCAGAAATGGTGAAGGTTCAGGCCCCTGCAAAGTTGCGGGGGTGGTAAGGGTCTGTGCCCCACCTCTGTTGACCCCCAAGTTCTCTCCTGCTGGCCCCTCTGTGACTGTGCCTGTCTTAGGTTGTTCCTTCCCTGAGGAATATTTCCTGTCTCTGGTTAACCACCCATCCTCTGTGGCCAAGCAGGGTGATGTGAGGTTCAGTTCTGTCTCCTTGGTAACCTATGCCCCCATGGCCTCCACCCCCAGTGTCTGCCTTGGGATCCCCTTGCCTGCTGGGAGGCCCAGGCACTGATCTCATATTTTGGGAAACCCAGGTTTCTTCTCCAGAGATGGCCCAGCTCACCGCACTGGGTGAGAGACAGATCCATGGTACCAGCCACCATGATGCTTCAACCTGG